AAAAATCAACATTTGATCATCTAAAAGGAGGAAAAAGCAAACAAAATAAACTTAAAGCAATTAAACCATATGCCTTACATATTTAACACCTCAACTGAAACAAGATCATAAAACCCCAAAGCTGTTCTAGAACAATTCGGACCTATACCATGCATCTGACAAGAACAAACACTGCAAAGCGAAAGGGTTGGGAGGGAGGTGGCTTTCATAAAGGAAAAATCTGTCAAAGGCAAAACCAGTTTCACTAAGTGCTTGCAGGTACTTAGGCAAAAAAAAAAAAAAAAAAGCTAACTCTCATGTTTTGCTATATAAAAAATGTAAAATGGATAGGCAGCCATTTGATTCTGATGAATTATAGTGTCGGATTGTACTTAAAATTAACTGAAAACTTTAGTGGTTTCTTCCCTACTCCCAACTCCTGAAAGACTTTTAGGAACTTCTTAAAAGGCCAGGTCATCGTGCTTTCCAAAACTTGAGTTAACTTCAAAGAGTGCAGACTGATTTCTTCAGATCCGACCCAGTTAATCCGAGGCGCTGTCCAACTACCCAAGTGTCATCTAACTTGACAGAGGCTGTCCCCTTGCAGGACTGTCAAGTAAGCACCAGACTGTGGTCAAACCCAACCACCCGCTCCATGGAGAAAATGTCTGTGATGACTACAGACAGGAATGGTGTGTTACTGCGTTTACGATCTCGTACCCTAGAAATCCTACACTGGATCACTAGGAGTCCAAACTGGCTGCAAGGAAGTGGGTTTGGAGAGTCTAACATGTGGAAGAAACATGTAGCAGTCAGCTGCCACGACTTACGGCTTCGGAAACGCTGTATGGAGCAGTTCTGTCTGTCCTAGAGGGTCACTGAGAGTTGAAATCAACTTGATAGCAGTGGGTTCGGTAGTTTATATATAAAAAACACACTTATTTCCCTTTCTAAGCTCCCTTACTTTCAAATTATCAAAACTTCCCCCTAGAAGTCCCTGGTTTTGCCTTATGATAACTCCGATAGAGGGGGTGGGGGAAGAGGCATTTCTATACATTTGTTACATAATGTGCTCTAGTACAGAAATACATGGGAGAGTCTGATATTATAATCGTGTATTCCTTTTAAGGACAATTCTGAGTACAGATATCATTTTACAACTAAAGAGCATTTACATTTAAAATAACCTAATTTCTTCAAACCCTTAGAGGTTTAAATGTCTTTTTCTTAATGTGAAAATAAAGACCCAAACAGAATAATTCTGTAAAAGCATGTGCGTATTTGCTTATGTACTAAAAATTCAGAAGTTAGCTATTTGTAAGCCAAATGTAGGACAAGTCCTCAAACAAACCACCAGGAGTCAGCTCCGAGACCATTCGTGACACCCACAAAAGGCAGCGCCCGCACTGCTCTCCCTCCCAGGCAGAGGTGATGGGGGCCGCTCAGAGGACAGTGCTCCGGTAAGTGTTCAGTCACTGCTGATGGACTTGGGCTAATCTCAAGTCCCAGCATTCTGTCTGACTGGAATGGCTGCTTCCATGACCACAGTATCAGGCCAACAGTTAGGCTTTCAGTGAGACGCTCTGGGGGACTGACATGAAAAGTTTTGAGGAGGCCTAGCTTTCAAGCCTGGCTCATCCGGGCCCTTAATGGTGGTGTGACTAAGCAAAAACTTCACCTTTCTGTGCATTCATCTCTTAGGCTACCCACTAGAAATGGCCACGTGAACACTGTGTTTTCCAGACATGTCTACACGTATGGCTGTGCTAAGTCCTTATAACTACCACACAGCTGGGTAAGCAAAGCAATGCTTGGAAAGGTACTCAATGAAGGGAACACAAATTTCCTGAGTCAGCAGGGCACCTAAAACTGTAGAGACTTGGGAAATCAATGCTTATCGAATGGATAGAAGCAAAGTTTCCAAGAGTTCTAACTATTACCTAGCATGGGAAAATTCTTGTGATCTAGTTTGGGGCCACATTGTAGACGGCAAGAAAAACAGCTTAAACAAGCCGACCCCAAAGAATCCCTAACTGCAGCTCAGTCTCACTCGAGAATCTGTGCAGCGGTTCTCACCCTGGGGGTTGAACGACCCTTTCACAGGGGTCGCCCGATTTTTAACAGTAGTAAAATTACAGTTACGAAGTAGCAACAAAAATAATTTTAGGGTTGGGGGTCACTCCAACATGAGGAACTGAATTAGAGGGATGCGGCATTAGGAAGGTTGAGAACCACTGTGTAAAGGGATGTGCTTTTCCAGGTCAACTTTTCCAAGTAATCCAATCTTCAACTTAGGAACATGAAGTGAAGCCTCCCAAGTGAAGTACTGGCAGGTGCTTGCAACCCTATAAGAATGGTGACGCCTGCACTTTTTCCTGGGCTCAGGGGGATACGGAATCAAGGTCGCTTTTGTCACACCAAAAGGTGTGACCTTTAAGCGCTCCTTGTGGATCATCTAGAAATGTTAATAATAATAAAGCATCAATTTAAGTCTCAGAATGGTCAGTAGAATTAAAGAATATATAGATTCAAGAACTGATACCAATTTTTTTTTATCCCAAACCCTCTAGGTTGAGTCCATTGCAACCCAGAGACCCTAGAGGGCAGAGCAGAAACTGCCCCCCCGTTGTGGGACTCTTTCCAGGAGCACTAAGTCTCGTCTTTCTCCCACGGATGGCTAGGGTTTGAACCACAGGTCTTGTAGTTAGCCCCCCAATGCATAATCAGCTATGTTACCAGGGCTCCTTAAAAAGTAAAGGGGGAAAATGTGTGAAACCCTAAATATGCCAAATAAATACTAAGAGTATCAGTACATAGTTTATCCCCTTAAATTTTCTTTTTTTCAACAATGTTTATCAGGAGGGGGAACTATACTCATTCATATGACTCCCACTGTTGATGGGAGGAGGCTTTAAAACATTCATAGAAAAATGATTTTAAAAGTAATAGAATTTCTCCACAAATATGTTTAAGCTCCTTCATATTTTACACTTACATCTTACTAGGTGAGATGAAAGCAGGTCTAAGAAAACCTGGGCTTATAATGACTGCTCAGGTAAATTTAGGCACCCCCTCAGTCATCTTGCAAGATATAAAGATACTCTAATAGCTCCTGTCAGATGAAGGAAATGAGCACTCATCAACAAGGAGAAAAACTTGACTGATGGAATATAGCGACAATAAATGCTCACCTGAAGGCATTTCTTTTAAAAACAAAAGGGATTGGAGTAACCTTAGGTTAACTTTGGTAACAATGAATCCTAAATGTCTGTGAACTTAGAAAATCTAACCTAAGAGTAAATAAATAATCCAATAAAAAAAAGTTCAAAGCTGATTAAGAATTGAAATAGTTCAAAGTATTAGAAAGGATGTCTTACCTAAATAACTTTTATGCTTTTAGACTTTGTCCAGAGCACTCACTTTATTTAAGAGGAAATTTCCCAATTTTTGAAAAGTAATGTTTTTTTCCTCCTCAACTACACTACTCCAATGGCAGTCTTCCACTGGTTCTTCTTTATCCATTTTCCCCTCTTATAGTCTTATTTTTGTGTCCCCTCTACACACCAAAGGATGTATCTCTTCCATTGTTTGGGGTTATTTCACCTCATTTGGGGTAACTTGCTAAAAATGTATGACTCTTAAGTGATGACTTTTCTACCTGTGCCATTGAGGAAAATGGTGGTAAGTCACGGGAAAATCATTAGAAAAACCCTTGAAAGGGGTTGGGGAGAACTTAATTGTCAGCCAGGAAAATCCTAGAACTTGGATCTTTCTAATACTGGCAACTTTTGGTTTTCTCTAGCCTTCAAATATCTTTCTATCCTTAGGGTTTTACTTATTCCTGATGAAATTCCCCCGCATCCTGTGTCATTCCAGTCAATGTCTCTCTGACCGCTATTACGTGCTGGGGCATAAAACGTGCAGAGGCCAGTTCACACAACAGGAAGTAGCTAACCCAAAGGCAAAGAACAAGTTTGCTGCAGTCCTAAAAAGGTTACCTTCCTCCCGTAGAATAAAGAAACTATACAGACTACGAGACGATCTCCCTGTTACACGCAAGACCACAGAATAGATAAATAGATGGATAAACAGACAGATAGATAGAAAGATAGATAGATATACTTTGGTATCTTCTAGGACAAAAAATCCTGGTGGCATCGTGGTTACACGTTGGACTGCTAACTGTAAGTTCGGCAGTTCAAAACCACCAGGCGCTCCTCAATGGAAAGGGGAGGCTTTCTACTCCTGTAAAGAGTGATCATCTCAGAAACCCATACGGACAGTTCTACCCTGCCTGTCCTATAGGGTAGCTCGATGGCACTGAGTTTGATCTTTTACGATGTCCTGCAAGGGAGAAGCTAGTTGTTGAAAACAAATGGCAATCTCTGGCACTCTCGAGTCACATGGCTCCGCAAAGACAAACTTCTGTTATTTTTCCAGATAAAATTTCCAATGATTAAAAGATTTGGTATCTCAACTTTAAATATCCCAATGGCAAAAACTGGCACCTAATTTTTAAGCAGGTTATGATTTTTAATAAATTAAATGCAGCACAAGATTTGCAAAAGTCCAATGTGACAATGACGATGGTAGAAAGAGTATTCAAAACAGGAGGCAGAAAAAGACAGTTGTAATTCCAGCACCACTGCCAACAGAGCCCCGGGCCGGTCAGTGAACCTCCTTCCAAGCATGTTTCCTCATTGACCAGACGTGAGCTTCCAACAGGCACTTTTGACATCTAAATTCTAAGACAAGATGGATTCAAGAGAAAGGCATTCTTCTACTCGGTCAAGCTACAGCTGGAGAAAGAAACTATCTGACACCTCTTCTGTTCACCTACATCAAGCTCCGGACCCTGGTAGACGGTGGGGGAAAGCAAAAATACCCGAGGAACAATCAAATATTTCAACCAGGGAACCAAAACTATTTTCAATCCCTGTGTAAAGGTGGACAATACTACCACAGCCAAGACTTCCAAGCAAAGCTTCAGAAGCACAGAGTGAAAGGTTACCTCTTGGAGCTTTCCGAACGGGAGGCGATGCAAAGAGTTAATCAACTAGCATATTGTTTTCACAAAGATTTTTCTAAAAAGGCTTGAGAGACTTTTATAGCCAGAAACAATTAGGGAATACTTGTTTCAGTATTCCTTTAAACCAGAAGACGACTATGTATTTAAAATAAAATTGCAACATGAAAGTCTGCTAAAAGCACTTTTTTTGTTGTTTGTGCATTTTGTTTGTCACCCAGTGTCACACTAACAACTCTGCATCTCATTCTAAAGCACATTATACTGTAAGATAAAATGAAAAAGGCCATTTTTTGTTTCCCCAAGGGGGAAGTACTTCTGCTAAAAGCATCTTTTTATGAGACTACTCTTTCTGAATTACCAATAATGCAAACCAAAGAATTAGATACTGTACTCTTAAATTTAATATTTTTTTCAATTCTTATTCATATCCTATAGACATCCCATGTGTACCAGGGAAAAGTATGCTAAATGCTTACACCTACTTAAGGACCTGGAAGATTGAGCATTTCTGTCCTTCAATCAGCAGGCTGTCAGGTCATGAGCACTCATTTTGCAATAAAAGTTTTCCTGCTTTGCTTTGCTGTCATACAGCTTAGTTGAGAAGAATCAGACTGGTCCACAAAGAACGGTCACGTTTCTTGTTGTGATGAACCTGACTTTACCTTTAGGTCTTCCTGATAAACTAATTGCAAACATCTCTGAGAAATCAAGAACTAGAGTTTGATTAAAAACTCAAAAGTCGTGTGCCGTCTAAAACTATACTTGCAAGTCTGAATATCAGCTCAGAGACAAATTAAGGCATGAGATTAAGGTGAAAGAACTCTGTGAGGTTTTGTTTCTTTTTTAAATCCTTTAGAAACACTGTGACAGCCTATGACAGTTTCCTCAGCTCTGCTACTCAGGAATAAGTATGCTTTTGCAAAGATTTCACTGTGATGTGTGCACAAAATATTATACTCTATCCCTGAACCATTAAGTCTGTAAAAGGGAAAAACTTAACCTTGAACACTTTTCTCCTTTTGATGTCCAACTATTAATGGCCAGAAATAATGAGTTCTGATCGGAAAACCTTCTCCTTTCAGCGACTTCATGAGCGCTTTTGCCAGATCTGCAAGAGAAACCACAGCACGTTACAAAGCTACTCCGGCTACGCTTACTTAAAAAAAATTAAATGATAATAAATGTAGTACCAGCTTTCTTGGCTACTAAAGCGCAGTGCAGTGTGAACTGGAAAGGGGACGAGTGCATCTGGCTCTCCTCTAACTTCTTGCAGTAGTCTTTCAGCTTCTCCACAGGCTGGGGGCGGGAAGGGGGGGGAAACGTCACCAAGTCAGCGAAAATCTGCACCTGTCTTGTCACTTCGCCTTCTGTAAATAGTCTTTCCCTTGCACCATGAAAATTTTCATGCGTTCAGTTTCCAATTCTAATTTTAGAATCCTTTACTGTATGTTAAAGAGTCACTGCTTATTACACTGTGTACAAAGTAGAAATGGATAGAATACCGTATTCACTGCCACACAGTGTCGCAAAAAGAAACTTCCAAAATCACCCAGACCGTCTTCTCTCGACACAGGACAGGCTAACAGAATCTGCAATGCTGTATCTTCCAGGTTTTCCGTGATTAAACGCAAAATGAGGTTCATTGCATCTGAGAAGAAAAGACATCTTTTTTACTACATTAAATCATCTTTTCACACTGCCATCAGTACTAGAGACAAAAAAAATTAGGAACGGCCAACCTAAAATAGCTATCTTGGATTTGGGGGACATATAATAAAAATAACAATGAAATACTTTCAAATCAAAACATTCCCAGGTACAGGCTGACCTCGGAGACAGCGCAGGTTCACTTTGAAATCACTGTCACAAAGCAATAAAACGAGTCCCACCTTTTTTAAACCTCTATCCACCCCCAACATTTTTCCAGTGAATATACCCCATATTCTAGGCCAGTGTGGAAAAACTGGCATGGTATGAGAATCACCACACCCTGACCAGAGGCACAGAGGTAGCACATGCCACGAGGAACTGCCATGGGGCTGCGAGGTGCAGAGTTGCCGTGAACCTTCCATTTATGAAAAATGCACAGGCTGTGAAGCACATGGACACTGGATGTGCCTGCCCTCATCGTCTCAAGGTTTCTGGCTTCTTACATGGCCTTCAAAGCCAACATACGCCCCC